CCTGGTGTCTAACCTGAGAACCTTCAGTAATTGTCAATATCGAACTACTTTCACTCCCTTGAGCAAACCTTACTGAAGATGGGCACCATAACCTGCAGTTTTAGTTTTACAAAATAAAGTTCAGCTCAGATATTCTAATGGACATTATAAATGATCATAACTTGGATGCTAAAGTGGGTTTTTGCGTTTCAACCACAAGGCCTCCTTAACCTAATTATGTAAAGGTCGTACGAGAAGAAAGCATAAATGGGAAAACAGAATCATGTGGAAAGACACATGTTACTGTAGCAGCACATGTAGAGGGAATCTAACTTTTAGAGCAAAACAGATCACTCGGACAACAAAATTATCATGAAGGTAATATTCTAGTCAAAGGAAAACTTACGTACGTAAACTCCGAATATGAATATCTTGATCATAGATATCAATGCTCTTACACAATTCACGGGCAACAGCTACCTGAAAAGAATATCAGATTGTTTGGATTTTGTGACATGCAAAGTGCAATGGTATTGATTTTTATGCTACACTAAATATAAGAAGTCAGTGGGAAATGCACCACATTAAGTTTGAACAAGGACGATGAGTGAATTTTGTTGGTAATGTCAAAGTCGACAAATATACCGTGGATTGGTGTGTTGGACTAAAACACAACCCAGCCCAACTTCCTTCTCCGACACCACTATCACGAGGTGGTACTGAATAGGACGCCCTGTCGATGTCTGAGCAAGTTTAGTAATGACATATTCATATGTTGCACCTCAGTTTTTAAACTATCAATGACTTTTTCTAGGTGTTGATAATTCAAGAATAAGATCATCTCAAAAATGGAATCACTCAATTGCCTGAAAAGCTATTGTCAGAGAAATGACTCATTAAGCTTCCCTTCATGAAGCTTGTGCGTCACGGTTTACAGTTTATGGTATTATCCACCAGGATCAGATGGAATAAGGAAGCTACAGCATGGCATAAAATGGATTGTATTATGCAAATCTGAAGCAGTTTCAAGAAGCTTATTGCATTAAGAATGGCATATATAAATAAAACTGAAAAAGTTCACATATGCTTACAGATTTAAACCATGTTATCAACTCAAAATACAAGGTAGTAAAGTTACCCTCTGCCACAGTGTCCAAACGGGATACAATGAGGTGACCGTAAGCGTCGACAGTTCCCAAAATCAAGCAGCTATCACCTGGAAGGTCACAAAACATTGAATATGAAATATATTCTAGGATAAGCATGGTTGTATTTTAAGAAGAAACAAGAATACAACAGAAACATATATTGTTAGTACCACCGCTTAGTAACCTAGCATTCTGCATATGCTTCGAACCCTCTTAAATACCCTGTAACTGTGAGCTCAGCTTACAAACCTAAGGTAAAAACAACTAACCTCTTAAATACCCTGTAACTGTGAGCTCAGCTTACAAACCTAAGGTAAAAACAACTAACCTCTTAAATACCCTGTAACTGTGAGCTCAGCTTACAAACCTAAGGTAAAAACAACTAAATAGCCAAGTCTTAAAGTGCATTGCTGAAAATCAAAGTGCACCTGCGGGCGATGGTGGGAATTATGACTAGTGGTGGTCAAGCAAAATGTTGAAGCAGAGACAATGTCTAAGATAGTGTCCTTCACGTACAATACGGTATGGTCATGCATGCTCCCAGTATATGCTATAGTTACAGAAGATAAAGCTGGATACGCCATTTCCGTAATAAAAATGGGGGCTGCGTGGCCCCTTTTATCCAAAAAAAGCTGGATACACCAACTCGAAGGAATAGCAGATTGTAATATACTGGTTATAAACTTGATGGCTATTTCAGCCTATGATATGTCAAGAGCCCAACCACAGCATGTTTTTTCTGGGAAATACTATGTGGCACCACATTATTATGAAATGTTGAAGATCGCACCTTCACCTTCAGCCAGAACTACACTCTGAATCTCCGAATGATGCGGGCAGCGGTCCACAACCGACGAGCTTATGACCTTTAATAAGAATGGACTTCCTGGTAAATAAGCACCCAAAATTGATAAGCTCTAGAAAAGCAAGAGTATTACCTGCGCACTGATAGGAATCAACAGGCTCTCTTTTCCTCTGGACAGCATCTCTTCTTCCATGGATATCTTTAAGCTCCAAGTGAATAAAAAGGGATATCAACTTAAGAACCCATGCATCGCAGATATGACACCACCGAAATACAAAGTTACAAACAATTTTGACCTCACATGTGACAAATTGTACTATTTTCATGGAGCATAGCTAATGGGCAATGGCAGAACCGAAAAGAACTAGAGCACTATGTGCTTACATAGCCGCGTTCCTGATTACTAAAATGCACTCTGACCAGCAAGAGCAACAGCTTGTGTGCTGCTGCCCGGTTCGAAAGCAGGATTCATGATTCAAATGAGCTACAGGACTTCTGAAATTCTTCGAAGCACTCAAGCAACTAATTAAATCTATCCAACCCACTAATTAACCTTCTGAAGTTCTGATGGTAATAGAACATAGGAACACAGTGCGGTTCCGCGCTACAGTTCCGGGGGAGGGGAGGGGAGGGAGGGGGGGACCTCGAGCTTGTAGACGCGGCAACCGGAGGCGAAGTACGCGGAGCAGGATCCGCCGTCGCCATTGACCTGGGACAGGGGGCAGGAGAGGGGAGGGATTAGAGCCGAGGGTTTAGGGTTCTGGAGGCGTGCGCGAGGAGAGGTGTGCGCAACAGATACTGTGCGGCGGCGGCGTACGCACGTGGACGGCGAGGCGCGTGGGCTGGAGGCAGCCGGGCGAGGGGTCGGAGAGAAGGGACGGCGGGACGGACGCCTTCCGCAGGCTCCGCGCCGACAGCATCGCCGGCGGCCGCGTGTGTCTCCCTATCTCCCCTCTTTCCGCAGGCGAGATACGCGAGCCTTTGCTCCGCTTGCTGCTGACCCTCTTTTGCCCCCACGGGGAAGGGAAGAGGAGAGCAGGCGCGGCGCGGGGATTGGGTAGGTACCTGTCCGCGCACGGGTGGGCGACTCGGCGTGACTATTATACCTCGCCATGGGCAGCCCGGCCCGGACGGCCCGACCCGACCCAAAAATCTCGGGCCGGGCTGAGCCCAAGTGTGCCATTGGGCTAGGCTCGGGCCTGAAAATTGAGCGCAATGAACAGATCAGGGCGGGCTTGGGCTTGCAGAAAACGTGATTTTAGCTGTAGTCGGGCCAGGCCGATCGGGCCGTGTCGGGCTTTCTCGAGCTCAAGCCCGATTTAGTAGGCCCCATGGTTGGGTCGGGCCGGGCTCGGGCTTGAGTTTTTAGCACCGGGCTTTTTTTGGCCCGCCCGAGCCTGAGATATGCCCAGGTATAGGCGTGACGCGCGGCTCCGTTGAGGTCGGGGCTTTGTACGACGATGTGTGTGGGGTTTGTAAGTCGTCACAAGTCATAAAGTTGTTTCTGAATGTGATCTCAAAAAAAAAGAAACTGGAAACTTATAACTCTCCTTCATGTAGTTTCTTCCCTCACCCTCGACACCAGTTCTTGAGAGTTGAGTGTTGAGATCACGGCTCATCCCCTCCTCTCCTTCGACGGCGTCATCATCCGGAGGAGGTATGGGAGAAAAGCGCGGGCAACTTCCAAACATAGTATGGCCCTGTTTGGATACTCTAACTTTAGTTAGAGGTTAGAGTTAGTTTCTAACTTCTGTCTAACCCTGAACTAACTCTAACTTTGGTGGTGTTTGGATGAGAGGGTTAGATTGACAATAAATGCACTTTCTCAATCATTTGGCCATCTTTTCAGCCGGATTTGTTGTGGTCGGCTCTTGTGTGGCCTTCTTCCGCTCAAAAATGAATAATTCACATTGCATGAGAGACGACTATCTTGTGCAAAAAAAAATCAGCGGGAGGAGCGACACACATGCAAATAAACAAACACCGAACAAATAGCTGAAGAGAACTAAAATGAGACACTTAAGATACTGAACAAACACTGACCAAATAACTAATCACTTAACATATAGTTGAAAAGAACTAAAACTGATACTTAGGAGTACTGATGACTAAAAACTGAAAATAATCTAGAAAAAAACATTACAAAAACTAATATAAGACTAAGAAGGCAAGCTTACAAACTGAGGAACAAGAATAATGAACAATGAATACTTAGGAATAAGTACTTAAGATTTTATTTTGTCCATACAAATGAGACGTCTCACTTAAACGTACAAGTCCTCAATCAAGCTTAAAAAAATTACACTCCATGAAACAAAGCATGAGCTAACTCATCACGGAAGGCATTCATGTCGATATCTTCAACAAGAGGTTCGTCTTCTGGCCATGCGGATGCAGAAGAACTAGGCATTGGGTTATAGTTTTCATCCGCATCACACGCATCAAATTCACTATCCGGAATTCTGCTCTCTCGAATGAAATTATGAAGAGCCATACAAGCAACAATAATTCTAGTTTGCTTGTCCTCTGGAATTTTTGGCATGTTCAATAAAATCCTAAATTTCATCTTCAACACTCCAAAGGACCGCTCAATGACATTCCTAACTTTGGCATGTGCATGGTTGAAGGTTTCTTTCATACCTTGTGGCGGCGCCATCTTAACACACATCTTCAGAACTACTCCAAATTGTTGTCCCTGCGCCATTTCTTGAAGTAACCCAACCTAAGCTCAGGAGTTAACAGGCCACGAAAGAACTCCCTTTGGTACTCTATTTCGAACATCTTAGACATAGCATAGACAGAGTCAACTGTTTGCTCCAGACTTAAATTATTTGACTAGCTCAGATTCATCAATAGTCCATTTTATTTACATAAAAGCATATATAGTCGTAACTACGTGCATAGAAGACCCATATAAGACCCATATACTTTGCCAATGCAATGAAAAATCTTCACAGCAGCATAGAAGACCCATATAAGACCCATATACTTTGCCAATGCAACGAAAAATCTTCACGGCAGCATAGAAGACCCATATAAGACCCATATACTTTGCCAATGCAATGAAAAATCTTCACAGCAGCATAGAAGACCCATATAAGACCCATATACTTTGCCAATGCAATGAAAAATCTTCACATCAGCGACCCAACATATTTAAAGATATACTACATTGATATAGGCAGTAAAAGTGTACCTCTGTGTGTGTAATCCAGAACTCAGAGTCGGCATCAATGGTTCCATCTGGTTTCCTCCCCACCCCTGTGTGCACTTGCATGTATCGCCAAAAAGAGTGGGTGTTTTTGAGTACAAGTATCTGGTTCTTCACCTGCACACGAGAATACACCAACCCCCTTCTAGCAAACAAGCCATCGATAACAGCTTGGTACCCTTCAGCACTCATCACCACACCATTATATGTTCCTGCTGTACGTTGCTCAATGCACAATTCTAACAAGCAAGCACTATTAGCATCACTCCATTGGGCTCGATTGCTTTGGCTCACCAGGGGGCCTCCGGAGCTCGCTAACTCCTCCACATCATCCTCCAATTCTTCATCACCATTGTCGAAGGGGCCGCCGGAGCCGGATGCTTGCCCACGGACCGCACTCCTCGGTGCCCGGCGGCTGGGTGCCGCGGCGGCCGAGTTGGATCGTTGCCGAACGTCGCCGCCACTGAACGCCGTCCTGGTGCGCTGGTTACGGTGGATGGGTGCCGCGGAGGCCGAGTTGGCGCGCTGCCGAACACCGCCGCCTGCCCCCGACGACGACCCGTCGAGGAACACACCACCGTTTCCTCCACGACCGGCTGCTGCCGACGAGGAGCCGCCGAAGTTCAGTCGCCGGGCGTAGGGTGGGCGATAGGGAGGGAGCCCGGAGCCCCTGACGCGCCCAGGGAGGAGCTCATCATCGTTGCTCTAGAGGAAGGCTCCGTAGAGCCCAAGCCCCGGGAACCCCTCCTACGCCGGCGCTTGCGAGTTGAGGTCAAGACCGACATGGGGAGCGGGGCCGCTTGCCGACGGCTGCGAACCCCACACATCGAAGCCGTCTCCGTCCATCGCTGGTGCTCTGCTCCAAGCTATACTACCTGTACCAGAAGAGAAGAATCAGTAGCGCATCCAGGAAGTGTTACAAGCAAGCCGAACTCAACACGGCACATGCAGTCGTGCTCTTCTCCGAAATAAGTAATCTTGTCCATGTTAACTTATGAGATACATTTCTAACTTTGATTATTTATAACAGCTAGTGCATAACAAAAATGAAATTGTACCAAAATATTTTGTGTAAGTTCCTGAACATCTGCAGCTCTTTATAAGTATTCATAGATCAGCTCTTTATAAGTATTGAATTGTTTCTCAATATAGATCCTGAACATCTGCAGCTCTTTATAAGTATTTATAGATCAGCTCTTTATAAGTATTTACATATCACAGCTCTTTGTTTCTTAATGCTCAAATCACAGCTAGTGCATATCAAATTATTTATAGATCAGCTCTTTGTTTCTTCATGCTCTAAATTTGCACAAACATCTGCAACGAGAGGGGGTTGAACATCTGCAGCTAACTAGCTAACTAAACAGAAGAATCCAGCCACGCCGTTGCTCACGCTAACTAATCTAGCTATGGACTACTCTTGCTGACTTGATGCACAGACGGACGCGTACGAGGAGGGAGAGCACGAGTACAGAAGGAACGGACGGACTCACCTCTCGCTGGATCGATCCTTGACAGATGTGTCGCCTCCGCGCACGAGAGAGAGAGAGAGAGGGAAACGACCGGGAGCGGCGCGAGCTTCGGACGGGGGAGGACGAGCGGCGACCGGAGGAGGTCGCGGCTTGGGCCGGTGGCGCGACGCACGGGCCGGCGGCGCGATGGGGATCGAGAGGAAAGGTTAGCGCGAGGGGGTGCTGGAGCGAGGGTGGGATCTGGTGCGGGCAGGGAGGGATGGGAGGGCGATTTTTTTAGTTATTCTTTTTGTGGGCCCCGGGAAAACTAGCCCAACTAGCACCTCTCCACCGGGATACTTTTTTTACATGGGTTAGAGGCAACTAACTGAAACTAGCCCAACCTGTTTGGATCCTTTTGAGCTATTTGAGTCCAAAATAACTCAAACTAACACTAACTCTAGGATCCAAACAGGGCCTGTATTAGGTTTAGAGTTTGTTGTTGTGGAGTTTGGCACTATACCAGTCTAGAGAGTGCTATCGATGAATGCGAGTTCCGTTGGCTGCGGCGGGTGCTCTTGAGGTGGGAGAGACAAAGGCTTTGATGTTAATATTTAATAAATTGAATATATTTCTTATCTATTTAAATTGAGGGATTTCACTGATGAATTCTCTTGGAAACTCATATTTAGGGGGTTACAATAATTATTCCAAGATTTTTTGAATTATCCATAACACATTTATAGTTCAAACTCATTTGATAATTTAAATGGATTTATTTCTATATAAAATGTAAATATAATTCCAAAAATATTGAATATTTCCGTGGGGCTTTGTCATGGACCATAGAGGCTGCATAATTTTTAAAATATTTTTTGAAGGATATTTGATACCCTGATTTATTCATTAACCGTGAGCTACCATTTTATAACAAGAATTAAATCATAAAAACTGGTTCATAGCTATTGGGCAAGCCCACTGGCCACTCCTCGCCGGTCCGACATCGGCCATATCTAGCCGCTCAGCCGGCCTCGTCTCAACCAACCGCACTGTAGGCCATCGTCTCCACCGCTGGCGATTTCGTCGGCCCCTCCCCAACGACCTCCCAGACCCCACCTTGCCACCACCATCGACAGGTGAGATGACGGATATTAATATGTTTGATCCGACTATGTTGCACAAGGTTGGCGCCAATCTTGACTGCACTTCAGCGAGGATGCCGCTTCGATAATGGAGGCCACGAGTCACGGGTGTAGGC